CTGTTTTTGGCAAATTTCAGTCCCCCCCCCCCCCCCCCCCGATTATTTCCAGTGTTCATTTCAGCTTCTTTCATGCTTACTGGGCACAATTGTGTTCTCTCCATTTCCATCAGGTAATTTTAGCTTCTTTCTGCTTTTCTAGCTACTTTTCAGCAGTTTTTTTTTATTTTTATTTTTTTACCGTTTCAAATTTCTGCTTTTTTTTTTTTTTTAGAATGTCCACTTTATGTTAATTTCTGATTTCAGCCTATATGTGCACAGTTGTGCTCTTTCCACTTTCTGGTAATTTTAGTTTTTTTCTGCTTTTTTTTAATAGCTACTATTCCGCCATTTTTTCCTGCTTTAAGATAATTTCCACTTTTTTGTGCCAATTTCTGCTTCTTCAAGTCTAATTGGGCACAATTGTGACCTCTCCACTTTCATCTGGTAATTTAAATTTCTTCTTGTTTAGCTACTTTTTAGCTGTTACTTTTTTATTCCCTGGAAAATTCCGTTTTTGCACATTTCTGTTTTCAACCTCATTGGGCACAATTGGGCTATCCACTTCCTTCTGGTAATTTAAGCTTCTGCCTTTACAGCTACTTTTCAGCTATTTATTGCTAATTTCAGCTTCTTCTTTTTTTAGCTAATTTAGTAATTATTGTGGTCATTTCAGCTTATTTAAACCTAATTCAGAAAATGTGTTCTTGTTGCTTTCTTATGCTAACTTAGGCTTGTTCTTCCATTTCAACTATATTTCAGATTATTTTTTTTTAGCTAATTTCAGACGTTATTCAGCAACAAGCATTCATACTGCATTTTCACAGGAAATGCAATTTCTCTAGTTGTAGATTTAATATTTGCCACTGATCAGATATTTGTTCCAATGAACAATTATTTCTGGATATGCATGACCTCTAATCACAACAAGGTCAAATAAAACTTTACTTGATAGGAATATCAACCACCGTCTTTCATGCCAGATGTTTAGATCATATTTTATAAGGGGTGGAGTTATAATTATCAGCAAACGCATGCGGAATAGCAAGATGTTGTTAAATCTGTTGATGCTCAGAGTATATGTTGAGGATGGCTCTCAGCTACCACCACAACAAACCTTAGCTCTATATCTATACATTTAATTGATGCATGTGTTTATGTTGAACAGCTGTTGCCACCATCTTGAATTTGGGGTGACTCCACAATTTAATCACTTCAAGTCGTACATCCAATGATTAAAGGCTGAAAATTTAATTAAAATCAGTACAGTGCTTCATGAGATATTTTGCTAACACACAAACAGGGTCAACTCCAGCAGTGAACGCCAAAGTTTTAGGCAAAGATGTGGATCAATAGGTCACATGTCGAGTAGGTTCTGAAAAATAATCTCAATTTCTACACTGTATTTTAACTGAACATCTGTAGAACGTAGTTAAAGCCATTTGTGTTTTATATCATCAGTTGGCTGTGGCGGCCACCTTGAATCGTGTTTCAACCAAAAGTCATAAATGTCAATCCAAACATTATTTTGATAACTTAAGATAGATCCATTGAAAGGAGAAGGAAAAGATCAATTTAATGTCTCCGTCTCAGATCCCACTTCAACGATGCTTGACGTTTATTCAAGGCCAGATTTGCACCCTTCATACTCGAACAGCTGAAAAGTGATTGGGCTGCGTTTCTCCTGTAATTTACAGCATTCAACAGGATCACCATATCCATAATCTGGATAATCACTGGATCTAATCACCATAATCTGGAAGATGACCAGATTAGTTGGTCTCCTCTCTTAAATGAGATCTTCAGGATGCAACATTAACTCATCCAAAATATTAGTAGTGTGAATGTTAAAACATTCACACTATTGTGATCCATTTTTCAGCACGATTCACGTCCTGCAGTTTAAGCCATTTCAACAAGTCGTACATCAAAACATTCAGCTCTTTCTGGACAATCCTGCTATGAATTTTGGTATTGGTGCAACTTTAGCTTTTTGAAATATTTAGCTTTTTCTGCCACTTTTCTCACAGGAAATTAATTGAGATAATTTTACATCCTTCAAATCTTCAAATCCGTTTACATTTTACTGCTCCTTTCACATTTAAACTTTAATTTAATCTTCAGCTACTTTCAGCTGGTTTTTCAGCCGTTTTGCGCTCCTTTCGGCTTCTTTCTGCTAATTACTTTGTGCTTCTAACTTTTTGCTAATTTCAGCTTTTTATGCTCCTTTCAGCTCATTTCTGAACGTTTCCAGCTTTTTCTGCCATTTTATTTACCGTTTAGCCGTTTTATGCTAATTAAAAGCTTTTCGGCTAATTTCACGCATTTACACTCATTTCAACATTTTTTCCTTTCTAATCCAGCAAACGTGCTCTCCATTTCTGGAAATTTCAGCTTCTGCTTTTTAGCCGTTTGCTAATTTCAGCTTTTTTTCCCCCCCCAGATAATTTTTGTGCTCATTTCTGCTTCTTTCAGCAAACGTGCTCTTTTCGTGTTCTTCCGCTAACTTAAGCTTCTACCTTTTCAGCTACTTTCTTTTACAAGCATTTTTAGCCAATTTCAGCTGTTTTCAGATATATTCAAGTTTGTGGTAATTTATGCAACTTTTAGCTCAATTAGCTTTCTGCTAATTTCAGCTTGTTATGCACCTTTCAGTTCAATTATGCTAGTTTAAGCTTTTGCTGTTATTTCACCTACTTTTTTGTGCTACATTTAGGTTTGAGCCAATTCCACATTTGTTTTTAGGCCATTTCATCTTGTTCCACTTTGGTAGTTTAAGCTTCTGCTTTTTCAGCTACGTGTTTTTATTTATTTTTTATCTAATTTCTGCTTTTATAATTTCCCATTTCCACTTGCTCTCGCCGAGATCGGAGGCTTCTCCCCTCCCTCTCCGCTTTGCTGCTGTCTGTGAAACTGCTTCTGAGCATCTATATTTCTTCCGAACCATAATTATGGACTTGATTTGATCAGTTGGTCCCTCAATTTACATTTCTTCGAAGAGTAGACTGGCTTTAGGCGAGCTGATTTGCCTGTTGGCACGCACGCAGCTGGATATCTCATCGACTTGGAAGACTTGATGTGTATCTCTGCTGTCATTTGTGGATTATAAGGACGCATATTTAATTGGATTTATGATAACCGGTTCCTGCTTTTAGGATTCGGCTTGTTGCTGGTTTTATCTACAATCAAGGAATTTGTCAGCAGCAAATTTGGACCCGATCACGCCGCTTGCCTTTATGATGGATTGGTTCGTGCCTTGGTACACAGACTCAAATGCTTTGGGCAGAATGGATCAGATCTCGGGGATTTGTAATTTGAACATTTCGGAACAGACTCGACCAACACAGACTCAAGGTAGATGTCATTAAGTTCTGCCTGTCCCCAAAACAACTGTGTTCATCTGAATTTGGCTCCCTTGGCTGGCCTTGAAGGTCATCTTACCTGAATTCGCCTGTAGAACGTGATCTGACGCTCACCACCCCCTCCCCCTGAGGAATTTCCAACTGATAACCAGATGAAACCAGCTGAATAAACTTGTGTCATTTCTTGGATTCTCAGTCGTTATTCTTGGCCATTCCTCGACATGCCTCAGAAATGTTTATGGATCTCACCGGAGGACACTGGCTGATTACATCCTTATCAGAACGCTTAGTGACCTCGAGAGCATTTATGATCATGCTCACCGCTCCAGTCTCCCCCCTCTGCAGAATGTCTACATCACTATGTGCTTGTTTGTGCGAGGTGTTTTTTTTTAAATAGTTTTTTCTTCTCAAGGCAGAAAAAAAAAAAAGTGATAGTTTAGTCTCCAATTCCTGAATGTGTCCAGTTTCACTACTTTTCGTCTGTAAATGAGTCTTCTAGGCTCAATGAGACTCATCCGTCTAAATAAAGGTTGAATTAATTTTTTGTGCTCGTTTCGATTTAAATTTAATTCAGCAAATGGGTCTTTCCAACTTCTGAGTAGCTTTAAACATTAAGTTCCTGGCAACAACCAATGCAGACATGTTCCCGTTTTGTTTTCTCCATCGCCTCGTAATAGTCATTTTTTCGCTACGTTTCTCTTTTTATCATCACTGTTAAAATCCAGGTCTCTTGTAAATAAGTCCTCATGGCTCAATGGGACTAACCTGTTTAAATAAAGGTTGAATGGAAAACAGGCTTCCATTTCAACTGCACTTCAGCATGTTTTTCAGAAAGTTCTTCAGTAATAAGCATTCACACTGCATTTTCACTGGAAATGCAATTTATCTAGTTTTCATTAAAGTTTAATCAAGTTCATTGGTAGATTTTTCTTTAATAGTAAACCATGAACACCAGGTCCAACTGATCTAATAATTCTGATATGAAATAAGCATTTTTATAGTGGTGATAGATCCATTTTATAAAGTACTTTATAGATCTGAGGGGACAGACGAGCAATAAATTATGGTACATCAGAAGGGAGACAGGAGTTTCAGACAACTGAAAGAATATAAAGTGAATAAAAGTGGAGTGTTCAACTATTTTTCTTAAGTAAAAAGAGCCAAACCACCAAAGTGTTAATACAAAAACACCAAAGAAAAACAAGATTTATTTTTATTAATCCTTAAAAGTTTATTTCCAACAAATTTATTTTGCGACTTAAAACACTTCCAACAGGCAGCAAAACACCACATTAACCTTTCACAAAGGAGAATTTTATTAGATTAGTCATAAAACCTTACAGTTCCTAACAAGCAACGAGCAGACACGTTTTTAATCTTCAGTGCAAAAATACTTCAATCACTAATTATTTAAAACATTACAAAACAAAGAAAAGTTTGAATAAGGAGGGGAGCGAAGTACAGCAACAAAGAAATCCAGGTGTTTTAAAAATAAAATTCTTGGTGCAAAAGCCACAACAAAACAGCAGCTTAAAATAATTCTGTCAGTTTTTCTGTCATTCGGTTCCTTTGGACCGTCTTGTTGGGATGCACCTCTGCCATTCTTCCCAGTGAGGGAGTTTCAGCTGGGCGGTTCATTACAAACCGTTCAGTCCTCGATCAGACGTTTGACAAGTGATTAATCAGGCAGGTGGCCTCAGCGGAGCAGCTGAAAGTTAATTTCCACACCTCTGCATGCGGAGCTGAACGTAAAGCGCCTTCAGACGGGGCAGCTGCCGTCATCGCGCTGTCAGGGTGACCCCCGGCCCTCATGTTGGAGAGGATCACGTCCAGCCTGACTGATCCACTCCCGTCCTCGTTGTGCACCAGTACGCAGCGCACGCCCGAGCACGGGCGAATGGTTAGATCGTGGAAGTGGGGACGGCAGGCTGCAGCCGTGACGAAGAGCGGCGCTGGGTGAAAGAGGACGTCCTCCCTCACCACACCGAGGTGGGTGTCCGTGAGGAAAAACTGGACCGTGCGTTTGCTGGGAGCGCTGGGGCTGATCTGCACGGCGACGCTCGTGTACAGCAACAGCTGCACGTCTCCCAGAGCGACGCCTGCTGGATTCAGATTACAGTGAATCAAATAAACCAAATTAGCACAACTCTTCTGAAATCTACAGCACAGGCGTAGCCCGGCGTCCAGCAGCAGGTCGGGTACGCAGAGCTGACAGTCGAGCAGCAGCTTCATTAGATCCTCATGCAGCAGAGTATTCTGGGGCGTCCTGCAGTCCCCAGGACAAACATCAAGTATGGCCCAGCACAGCTCTTTGGTAATCTGCTGGCTGTGGGTATAAACTCCCAGTACGCTCTCCTCAGTAGAACCCATTAAACGCAAACTTTGGCCTGCTAAACCAATCTGTATCTCCTTCAGCTGCAGCACAGGGAGGTGATGGAACAAGACCAGCAGCCCCGAGTCCACAGTCAGCGTGCAGAGGTCAGAATCCATCAGGATCAGGAGACCAGGCTGGGGTTCAGGTTTGCTGCATTTAGCTACATTCAGCCAGTAAAGAGAGATTCCCTGCTGGGAGGGAAACACCAACTTGGGGATGATGGACCGTAGAGTTTCCATCATGTCTCGCAACGGTAAATTTTGAAGGGTCGACAGAGGATCGGGATATTCGATCAGTGTTTGAACTGCAATGTGGACAAGTTTTGAGTTTTTCAAAACCTGATCTTTGTTAGTAGGTGCCTGCATAACGTCAGTCACGTTGATCTGTTTCAGTAGCAAAGGCTCCGTGATGTTTTCATCTCCTTGTTCTACATCCGTATTAACCGCCCGGTCTTTTTCTTCCTCACAGAAGTCCTCCGAGGTTTTCTGCTCGTCGCCTCGCGGTTCCTTCACCGTGGTTTGTGCTGGTGTCAAGACTGGTGCGTCATCAGGATTAATGCGGCCTTGAATCGGCCAAGCTGCCTCTTTGGGCTGAAAACGTTGAGTTATAGTCATCGGGATGTGATGTACGAGAGGCAGTTCTTTAAGCAGAGATGACACAAAGCTCCCTCCGACAACCGAGAAAGCCCGGCTGCCTTTCACAACAGACAGAACGTTCATTTCTTTGACCAGAGAGACGATGTGCCTGGACCAGCGTGCACCAATAGACTGCAGCCTTCCATTTGCGACTTGGTACAGCGCTCTAGGAGAACCGAAGAGCTCATGTGCATCCTGGACAAGCCAGGAAACGCTGCTGAGCAAAGAGCCCAGCTTTGATGTTTGAGCTGCAGGTTCCTTCTGTGTCAAACAAACTTCTAGGACGTCCTCCAAACCTTCACTCATCTCTTCGCAGTGGTGCTGATCCTCAGAAGCTGGGTCTTTGGTTGGACAGCGGGCCGACTGAGGGTTGAGAGGTTTTCTGTTGAGCTGAGAGTGAGTCCCGGTCTCTGGGAGGACCGACACGGAGCAACTTCCTGCGCTTCTCTGCAGGTGGGACACACTTTCTAATGAGCTCCCACCAGAGCCAGGTCTCCCCTTATAGCAGTCAGTCACGACACCTTGGATCTCATTAGCATTCCCTTCTGGCTTCATGCCACATCCATCACCCGGACCCAGGACACTTGTCTGCTGGAGGCTGGCATCCCCTGACCGAACCTCTTCTCCATTATAACTTGCAGCACCAGCTCCACTCTGAGCTCTCCTCTGTGGCCCCTCAGACACGAGCTCTGGCCCTGATTTATGACACGAGTCCCTCTCCTGCTCCTGGCCATCCCCGATGCTTCCTCCACCTTGTAATGCATCTCCATCCGACTCCAAACTGATGTGAGGGACAGGATCTCTTTCAGGAATGGCCTAGTTTACATTGTGCAGGTGGGTAAAGAAAGAAGGGAGAAGAAAAAAAAACTTTTAAAGCCGTTAAAAAACTCTGCTTTATGCAAATTACTGCAAATCTCTGGCATTACAGCAAATCATTTTAATTCAGCTCACATTGGAAGCAAATTTTTATTTATGTGTTCAATTATATTTGAAAGCACAAAGACAAAATGAGGGGAAATGAAGTGAGAAATAACAAGGTGCATTTAAAAACCAAAATGCTTGTGCGCTTCCACAAAGTGTCATTCCCTTTGAAACCCCTACAGGAACGTGTAAGAGGGTTTGAATATGTGCATAATAAACACACATAACAAGCCCGGGGAAAAATGTGTTTCACGGCTCATAAATCCGTACTGGGCCTGGTTAGAGATGGCTTTTGATATCCACTTTAAAATAAACTTGAACATTGGCAATGCAGCATTACAATTGTAGTGGACTAGGCCTACGTCGAAACTAAGTCTAAGGTCAAAACTCTTGACCTTTAGAACCTTGTGGGACAGGAACTGTCATTTCATGTATTTGAATACATAAATACAGGTTCACCCATCCTGAGACTTTCTTTCTTGAAGATTCAAGTGAAAAGAACACTCTCTTTTTATTATCATTACTATCTTACAAATGTTGATAATCAAAGTGTCTTAGTTCAAACCATTTTAGATGTTGCAGTGAACTAATCAATTTTATTAACTGAGTAATGATTTTTATTCTCATGTCAAAGCTGTTACAGAATAATTATGCATTTTCTGATTTCTGCTTTTGAATGAGCAAGTGTGTGCGTTTACAAGGTTACAGTCAAACGAAAAACAAGTTGTTATGTTAAAACTGTCATGTTTTAGAATCCTCTCAGACGTAAGTAGAGATGTTTTGCACCCGTTTCCTGAAACACGCCAAAACAAAACCCTCTCTGTCTGTGAGAACATTTCTGATCTGCCTCATAACAATTCTCGCTGCCTCTAACCTCTTACGTCACAAAACCCACCCCGTCTGGTCGTTTCTGACCAATGAACAAATCCCAAAAAGTGAACCGGGAAAGAGTCTTTAAAATGTCAGTACTTCCTGGTCTAGTCAGTTCTGTGGGAGTTCTGTAAACTACACGAGAGCTAAAGTTCTGATGGAGTGCTGTTGGAGTTCCTGACATGACAACAAAGCTCTTCCGAGTTCCATGGGATTATAACATTTTCCACTGAGGTGAATGTGTGTCGAACAGAGCCTCGTCATTACTTCGGACGAGTAACAGCATCCTACTGAGACGCTGAAAGGGTGCGTTAAACGGAATCTCACCTGAGACATCTCCAGGTAAAGGAGCCGATTTCATCACCTAAGTGTACTGTAAGGAAAAGCTGAAGAAAGCCGGAGAGTGTCGATTCTGGTGAACACTTAATTTCCCTCACACACCATCTTACTCCCTCTAAACTTCTTTCCATCTTTAAACTTTTCTATCAAGTAGAAATTCTTCCAGATATTTAGAAATGTCTGTGTAAAATGCTCACCCACATTCATGTGGGCAAAAGATCATAGTTGTACAGTTTTCATAAATGTCTTTGGTGCAGCAACGGAAAAATCATGGCCGTATGATTTTTCCTGATTGATTGCTTTGTTGTTATTTTCATAATTTGCCAAATTAATGTACATGTTTGATGTTAAATTTGATTCTGTAAATAAATGACCGCATTCATTTTGATGGGTCAAATATAAATGACGTCTCACGTTTGCATTTCCTTAAATTCAATGCACGTTTTATTCAGTCCAGAAAAATGAGGAACCCGCGTTAAATGATGAATATATGCCAGCATCTGTTCATCTACACAATCAAATTGTCTTGTTAATTTTTTTTGGCACACCATAAAAATCAGCAAAATCACTTGCACATTTAGCTCTCTGAAAAAGTGTAATTTAAGACCGTTTAATAAAAATACATACCGTGATCACGAGGTTCGCTGCTGAAGTAGATTTATGACGAACTTTAGGGTCTTTGGAGTCGCTCTCTGCATCCAGTTGGTTAAAATGACTGGCGAACAAATGTAAATTTCACATTTTAACAAAAGGGAAAAAAAAACAACATTTTAATAAGATGAGGTGTGAACATAATACTATTGTGGTTCTTTTTGTTGTCAGACCGTTTTCAAGAACAAATTTAATTATTTGATGCGACACTGGAGACCCTGAACAGTTGGCAGTCACAAAGAAAACCGCTATAACCCTCAAGACCCTCCTCACACACAAAAATCCATTAGATTTAAAAAGCAAACGCCCCAAATGGCTGGATGAGATTAGAAACACTCTGCTAGCTGTGAAATTAAATAGAATCTGTGCATGTTGATTTGAGGATTTACATACAACTCGGCACTCAAGAGGGGAGCGGAAACCCAAAAATGCAGCATAGATTTTTTAATTTTTTTAACGGCAAACGGTGGCTTTAGCAAAGCTTTGTGTGTATCAGCAGGTTGACAAAGGGCAACCGCAGCAGACGTAAAGCGGTCGCATCAAGAGGGAGCTCGGGTCCTGGTGATGAATAAAGGATTTCTGAAAATCCTGAGGATCAGGATGGAGGATGTCCTGTACTCACTGATGCTCGTCGGCTCACAAATACGAGGTTAACATAAGGTCTTGATAGTTTTATTTTTTCTCGTGACCTATGGCTCATATGAAGAGTTCAACAGTTACGGTACAACAAAGCTGGCCGTGCAGGACACAGGAGACGAGGCCTTCTCCATAAGAGATGATTTTACTGAACCGTCTGCAGGAGAAACATCTGATAGGTCTGCAATCTTTATGATCAAAAGAGCCACTTACGCCCCTTTGTTCACTAAATTAAGTGTCTGGAGCCGCAACAATCTGGTACAACTGATCATCAACTGGTGCCCTGTGGACCACTGTCAGTTTGTTGGGGCTTCTCTGGTCAGTGGGGGTGACTTTATAAAAGTATCAAACTGATTTTAACATTTGATATTTGTACATTAAGGCGAAAGAAAAGACCGGTTTTTTTAAAGAAAGAATAAGATTTTTACAATTTTGTAAAATTTTAAACGAACTACGCATTTATGATTTTATTTTTTATTATAAAAAACGTATCCCACTTTGAAGAGATAACGCATAGCGAGTATGCTTTACCTTTTGTATTGTTCTATTCACATATTTGCTAAAAAAAAAAAAAAAAAAAAAAAAAACGACAGGAAAACTTTAAACGACCCTTTCGTTATTTTAGTATAACGACCAATAAAATTCAGTTTTATGTTCGTTTTGGTCAAAGCTTGAAGGAGCCGCTGTAGAAGGACCAAAGAGCCGCAGGTTGTAGACTTCTGGTGTGGAATAGTCTTGCAAACATTTATGTTAAAGAACATTTAACTAAACTTGCCTGAACCTTTTAAAGCAGTTTGCACTGCAGCTTTGTGTGTTTAACTGTATAACCATTCCCAACAAATGAAGCTTAAACCCAGCAGATTTCTTGTCCTGACCCTCTGAACTGTAGAAATGTTTTCTGTTGAACTTATACGTTTTAGTTGCATTTGGTCAAATACAATTTAAGCCTTATAAATTAACTTCAACCATCCTGAGAAGAATTTAAAAAAATAATCTATAAATGTATCTCACTGACTGCTGGCACAACGTTAAGCACGTTAGCAGAATGCGTCTCCAGAATGTCGCCGAGATTTAAGTTCACTTCAGTCGAAGGGGCTTGTGGTCCTTTCACTTTTTAACAAAATATTTAAAATGTGAAATCTTCTCAAAGGTCGTCAAAATACCACGTTTGTGATCCTAGAGGAAGATGATCAACTACAATTAGCTATGAAGATGAAGATAAACCCACCACCTGTTTTAAAGAAATATGTTATGGTTGCCTTTTACAAATTAAAAGTACTTTTTAAAGAATGTATGTGGAATCGAGAGTCCCATTATACCAAATGTCACTCCCAGAGTGCAACACATCTACAGCCAGTGTTTGAATCCTAATTATTTGCTCTTTCTTACAGCTGAGGGTCATTTCCAAGATTATTGAGATCAATTCTGCCCTTGCTGCAAGGGAGTTTATGCAAAGTGAGGCAAGGAGAAGAATAGAATGGAAATAAAAATGAAAACGTGCGTTCCTCAGTGCTCGTACGGAGAGCCTGCAAAGACGATTGTTCAGTTTTGGAGGTTAGGGAAGGAAAATTAGCGTTTAATGTTTTATGATGCATGTTCAGTATAAATAACCGCGCAGGAATCCAACAAGTTCAACGTACTTTGAAGCCGAAGCACAGCCTGCAGTGGTTCTGTTGAGCTGCCACAACCAAAAGTCTGCATCGTCTTCCAGCAACAAACCAGATGTTTCTGGAGCAGGATGAAGACAGCAGCTGTAAACGGCAGCCTTACAGTAACGGAGTACGGCAAGAGTGCAATCGCTCTTTCATACCTAAATCAGAGGAGTGGACCTGGGCTGCAGGTATCTGAGTGAAAGCAGCAATAATCACACGAGCAGAAAGTTCACTTTTTGGGGGTGTGGGGGGGGGGGGGAATGCGCCGCAGTGTGAAGGAAATTACATGTCAAACTGCTCCACACGCTGTAAAACATCAGGGTTAGCAGATCAGCGGACACCACGGGGAAGTCTCAAATTGCTCCCTCCTTCAGTCCACGGCGAATCGCTGACGAGAGAATTGGATTTTGGACACTAATTCAGCGAACACAGACAGTGACAGATCAATGAACTGTCACAATTCCAAGGCCTTGGTGGTGCATAGAGATGTCTTGATGTCTGTACATCCAATGTTTTATTTTGTTAAAAATGAAAAAAATAGGGCACAGCTGCAGCAAATGACTAGTCAAGTCTAATTCAGGTGAGCTACACAGATTTGGCTTTAAAATGCTGTTTTTAAAGACTTTGGGTTTTAGGTTAGTGAAGCATTTCAAATTATCCTTAAAGAATATTGTTGGAAAGATTTGCCAAGTTTAAAGTTGGATCTCTAGTTATTTAAACTACATCTCATTTGTGTGACAATAAATACCAAAGGCTTTCGTTTATGGAGACTTTTTGAATTACAATTTAAAAATAATTTATGTAAATGAATTCAAAACAAGGTACAAATTTTAATTAAATAAAGTCAATTTCTCCTGCAGGTGGGCTGCGCAATATTCAGAAAGCATGATGATTGCAATAAGTGTTTATTGTGAAATCTACTGCGATAAACCCACATGTCACTACAATGTTAATATTCTATGTGCCAACTGGGCTTAAAGAGGAGTGTGTGTGTGTGTGTGGGGGGGGGGGGGGGGTGTCTAATGGTCAAATTTGTATTTTTTGCAACAATTTCATGTCTATGCATTTAATCTTTTTCAAAATTGATATTGCACCACTGATAAATTTGTGATTTTCCAGCTCCAAACTGAACCAAAGCCAGTTTAGGAAGAAATGTTTACTTTAAAGAGTGTTGTGTTTTTTCCCCCTCATACACGAGAAAGTTGCACCATTATAAGTTTTCGACCAGTATGGCATACCTGTTGACGAGGGACAGGGCGTGCACCAGAGGCCATTTTATCACCAACTCTCATGGACTTTGGTATACTACAAAATGTATTTGAATGTTTGAAATCTGCATGATAAGCAATAAAGTTTCAAACTGATTGAGGCCATTTTAGCAGCTTTAAAAAAATATTGCCTACAATCTGTTGATTAAACGAGGATATACTTGAACATTCCAGGTTGTCCGTCAATTTCTGGTTGGCTGCAACCTTTACAATAAAAAGGAAAAAAAATTACATGTTTAATTTAATAAGTACATTATATATAAAGTCTACTCTATACAATGTTCTTAAGACGGCCATCTTGCGAACTGCTTGGGATTTTCAAGCTTCCGAGTGGCAGACTCTTTCAGGAGCTGCAATTTCCTTGTTATCCTCTTCCTCGTCATCAAGCTTTGCAAGAGAGGCACTTGTGTATTTAATGCTGGGAAAATCTTTTGACCGAATTTTCTTTCTTCACCTCGAGGCCAAGCTGTCGGTATATAATATGGTTTTGCACATCCAAAGAGCTACAACTAAAACACCATGTAGAATTGAATTTTGCAGATATTTATGACAAGCCACAAACGCCTGAAACTGTGACTGTCTCTCGTAAGTTTGGGGGGTAAATTGAAGTTAAGCTGAGACATGACAATGATCTGGGGCATAAATATTCTAATTGTAATAATGTTTAATTAAAAGAACTAAAGCAGCAGATGGAGACATTCAAACAGGCTGCGCGCGCTCCCGCCACAACACACTCTCTTGGACCTGGAGTTTGATCACACACAAGTTTCATGTCCGTACGTTGATGACGCTCCAAATACTTTTAATACAAAGTTAGACTTTAGATACAGAAGTATCGACGGAACATTAATCCATGTCTATTTCACTTGGTCGTCCATTAAATAATGGAGGAAAGATCTGGTTGTCGAGATGAAAAAAGGTTCTCGGACAAACAAACCACTTATGTCAACCCCTGTATGTAAATAAGTAGTTGGACCCTCGGACTGATGAAGTCTTCTGGATGAAAGACGAAACGTTTCATCATAACGAAACCGTCCAAAGGGCGTGACAGTTTTTTTTTATTTTTTTACCTGGATTATTGAGCATGAATCAGGATATATACTCTGACATCAATTCGCAAGTTGAGTCCAACTCGGAATCTCATCAGGTTTGTAAAATTGTAAAATAATCCATCTTTTTTAAGACTGTGTGCAATTGTAACATAAGATCAAATCCGGGACAGTTTTCTTTGTAACTGATCAACAGGAGCATTAATCGCTGAATGGCTCTTCTGGATCTACAAACATGTTTCACCAAAACATCCAGATCAACTTCCACATTCGTGTTTTTGGCAGGCCATTTAAACTGCCAGCACCAAGCTCCCATCAATAAACTGATCACATATACTTTATAACCTTGAAACCCTTCCACTAATTCATTCTGTTAAGGGTTTATTAGAGACTTAAAAGCAGAAACGCTCTTGAGCCATGAGAATTACTGCAAGTTCAGCAAAGTACAAATGATTTTTTTTAAACAATCACTGCATTATGGGAATTTGCTGGGAAGCAGAACTTGAAGTACACCACAGTATTTCTGGGAACTGCACACTGGGCTGTACACTACCTTGTGAACTAGAGGTGATTTGGGACACGTCCTCAGACGCAGGAGACGTCCCCGATATGATTCTCACTCGGCATGAAGCGCTACAGAACAGCTTTTTTTTTTTACATTCCCATTCCTCATAAATGCTGCAGTGATTTATAGCTTTGATTTGCTCTACATACCTGATGAATGGTGCTCAATAAGCAGGGATTGTGGAGACTGAGGCGGACGAGACAGTTACAGTCAGAGTGCAGAGAGCTAGAGACAACGGCAGCATACTGGAGGTTTTACCCTGAATGTTGAAGCATCGCCACGGACGGATTCTCTGACGATCTGGACAAGTCAGTCAAAGATGGACAGGAGGCAGACAGCAGCGCTCTCTGCAGATAACAGAACAGGAAAAGTTTCTTTATTTAAAATAAACCGTCTCGGAAAAGAGAACCGCCTGCGATAGATTTGAATAAAAATAGCTACAACGCAAATCATACTTTGCCTTCTGAAAGTTTCAATGAGCCGTTTACTTTGTGGCTCTCCCACATCAAGTTAATGTGTAAGATTGGCTGCAATTAACCAGTAATGACAAAAAACTTGGAAGTTTAAACTAAATAAAAATCTGAAAGTGATGGTTTTGCCTGTTCCAGGACAAGACTGAGCCAACGTGGAAGTCTTGAAGCCCTCATTTAGAATAGATGCTAAAAAATTCATGCTATGGACTTTTTGAAAGCACAGAGGACTGAAAGCCTGCACTGCTCTTTGCTACATTAAAGCCAATTTCAAAAACACAGAGCACAAAGAAGATTAAAAGTACAGGATGTCGGTGTATGAATACGAAAGTGAACAAAAGGTCCTTTAATTCAAAATGGATGAACCTTCTCTGAAAATTCGTAGAATGTGATTAAAGCAGTATTAACATTTTTATTCAATCATATTCCACTTCATAGCTTTAACTTTACAGTTAACTTTACATAATCTGGGTCTGGTTGTACAACCTAGATTTATTTATTTTTCCCATTACAATGAGGAGCAATACTCTAATGCAATCTCATTTATGAGCCGTGTTTAAAGTCAGGAATGAAGGCTCGCCTGATGACTTGTTTCGGCTGGAACGATTTCCCCAGTTTATTGATGGCAGACCAAATACAGAACCTCTTTACCGTAAACGGTTTTCAGTTTTACCAAGAGTCTTTTATTTATACGTTTAAACTCAGCTCCAGTTGTAAATTTGAGTAAAAACAGCTCTGGTAATTCGTCTTCGGCTGCGATCGCTCTTAAAGCGTGTCCATAAATGTTTTGCTCTGCACGAATCGTGTCAAGAGATCTGACACAAATAAATAAAATAACTGCATTTCATCGAAAAGGTAAAAATAAATGCTCTTGCTACAAATGCATATCATGCATTTATGCATACATACAATTTCCTTGGCGATTGAACAAAAAAAACAAAAAGCCAGCAATAAGGAATGAACCACTTTTTTTTTTTTTTTTAAACATAATATTTGTGCCATTTAAGCCCTTTAGAAGTTGCTCCAACTATTTCGGTACACAGTCCTGAACACAGACCAATGGCTGCATTAAACTAGGGAACAAAAGTACATTTGCACATTGCTTCCTTATAAACTAAAATAATCCAAATATTTTTACATACATTTAAAAAAAAAAAAAAACTAACTTGAGCATCAGAGCCTTTTCAGCAAGAGCAGAAGCAGTTTGTCGTGGAAAATCTGTTGTGAAATTCTGGTTTTTTTACGTTTTGTAAGCCAATTAGTACAAATAAAAGATTAAACTTAAGTTTAAAGAAAAAATATGCAAAGAAACTAAGCGTACATAATTACACCAAAGCAGAATCTGGTCAAGCTTTTGTGTCAAGTTATCATAAGTAATATTGAAGCTGAAAGCAACTGTGTATTATACCTATTGGCATTTACTACATTTAGTGAAAGCTTTCTTCTTTAAAAATAAACAAAAAGTATACTCCAAAACCTGTTTGTGGATGTTTTATATATTCGGTCTACCTGCGGTTTCTCTCTCAGCTGGAAGTTTTCAGCAGGACGGTAGAACCGAAGCACGGTCCCTGCTCCAAGCTGTAAAGCTGCACCTAAAGGGAATCGAACGGCTCAAATTACCAAATGATTGTCCAACAGTAGCCGCTAACCACCTCAGCTGCAACTTACAATCTTAAAAACAGTACTCAAAGCATTTTTTTTTATGCATGCTCAATAATCCAGGTAGAAAAATCTAAAGAAGTTAAATCTAGTCCTCTGGACATTTAAAAAAAAATAAAAATAAAACGTAGATACGTTTCGTCTTTCATCCAAAAGACTTCCTCAGTCTGAGGTGCTGTACATTTTTTTTTTGCTTTTGTTTTTTGTTTTTCTGAATGTCCAGAGGACCAGATTGAATTTTTTTATTTTATTTTTTTTTTTAGATCAAAGCAATTTTATTAAAACTGATGGAAAAACAAATACAGTCGTCACTCGCTACTTCGCAATTTGTTTTTTGTGGATTCACTACATCGGTTTTTCAAAGTAAGATTGGACATGGCAATTGGCTGATTGATGGATGAACCATGGATTATTTAAAAATACATTTTAAATGATTTTGCACCATCTGTGCAGCCCACAAGTGCAGGGGAAGCTCCCTCCTGCAGCTGATCAGCTGATCTCCTCTGCCACACACACATTTCTCCTGCAGCAGCTTTGTGACGGGTTAACCCTTTTCTGTCCAGCTGCACAATCGACTCATCCAAATTAAAACTCAAAGTATGTCGCATCATAAAATCGTCAGTCACAGAATATAAAAGTGTTATTTTTACTTATTTTAGAACTTCTATGTTCAGTCGTTTCAGTGTAACTGATCAAGAAGTACATTTCTGCTCCGTGTTGCTGCTGCTGAAGGGTTTTAACCCTTTGATGTCCTGCTGGACTTCTTTACAATTTAAATACTGTAACATTTTAAATATGCAGTCCATGCAGCAAGTATTGTTTGTTTAAAATGTTACAATATTTGAACTATTTAAGGAGGAAGATTGGGAGCAACAGGTGACGAGTGAGTTTGATTGCACATCATGACAAACTTTATTCAAATTGAACTACTGTATCCCTACGTTGCCGTTTTCCCACTTATCATGGGTGGGCGTGGTCCCCAACACCTGCGACAAACAAGGGACTACTGTATATAAAGTAAAAATCTGTCCAGATGCAAACTGCCACGTACGCGTGTTTGCCTATAGAAACATTAAGTGATGGAAAATGGGTCAACTATGGCAACATCCATGGAAAAGAAGTTTGACAATTTTGAGATGTTACGCATTTACACCTTTACGCTCATTTCCAAGTACGAAGATAAAACGGTAAACCTACTGGTCTAGAAGAAGTTAAGTGGATGCAGAACGCGGCTCCATGTTTATGGCGAGCCACTACCCTGCCTGATCCGATATTCATTATTGACAGTCGCTTTACTTGACGTCTGCCGTATTTAGCAGATTATATTTTGTATTTGCACCTAAAGGTTTTCTCAGGGACTCGAGGTTTGTCCGATTCTCTGTTAATGCATCTACACACTACAGCCAGTAGTCGTGTGCAGATGAATCCAAAAACAAAACTTTGTTCTGGTATTTGTGTTACGGGTCAATACTTCAGTTTCTTTCCATTCTCCACTTTCAGTATGTTGCTCCAGATGTGCGATGAAAGAGAAAAATATTGCTTAATTTGTTATTAAACAAAAAATAGAAATGTAACTTGTGAAACATTCATTCTTTACTGTGTACCAATTTAATTTAGCAGTTACAATGATAGATTTTTTATTTGCCAACAAACTCTGCCTAGAAGCCATCCCGAGTTGTAAGATGCAAATAAATGGCTAAATAAGGAAAATTAGTCATTTAAGAGTCCTGAAAATAAATATATTCAGATTTAACATAAAGTACGATATGCTGCTCTCCTTATGTGAATCTATAGGCTGCCCTCGTGTGTTCACAGTATTTGAATTGGATTGATGTACGATGCATTTAATTTGTACCAAATATTTAATTTTGCAGCACTGCACACCAACAGCCAGACGAACAAAGGTCAGTCTCACGACTCAAGCTTCCTCACGGTTTTACTGAATCGTTTAATTGCTTTGTTTACATTGAGTGCATACCCACATTTCGGAAGTGCAGATTTAAACATCTAGAAAATTAATGGGAGTAAACTTGTTCAAATTGCACCATTTGACACATTTCAGGATAACCTTTTTATACATTTGATTTCATACTTAGTAATGAGTAACTTTAAATTCTAAATTTAATATACGTACTACGCTAAATGGAAAATCAGGAGCCAAGAATGTGATTTGCTTCAGTTTAATCAAATTACAATCAGTTTGAAAACATTTCAGCAACGAACGCAGCGAGCCATGAGCCAAGTGGACCAGTATCATGATGCAGGCATGTCATGAGGAGAGTCATGACAGAGGCATTAGTGAACTTTTAAAACTTATCCACACTTTAAGTTTTACTTTAGTCAGTTTCCTCTGCTAAAGAATAACCAGAATGAGGGAGTCCTCACTCAATGAGACTGATCTAGACCACAAGGATTATTTACCAGAGGAAATGGTCCAAGGAAACCTGGAGTCTTGTAACACTACAGAGTTGAATTTAAGGGTTTATACATCAGATTCGTATGGCTTCATCTACAGATTTTCTTCAGGTCTCTGCTCTTTCAGCGCAGCAGATACTAATCTTACCACTAACGACTTCTGACGACTAACAAAGCACCTGAAAAAAAAAAAAAAAAAAAGAAGCTTCCCATAAATTCTAGCTGCCGTTGGACTGAAAATGACTCATTTGTTCAAAGAAACGGCTTCAGATGCATCCATTTCTGATGGGAATGGTGGGTAAATTGTAAAGGTTATAAAAGAGATGACTACAGCCCGAATCTGCGCAGCCTGGTTCTGTGTGGAGTTTTTATCTATCAAAAGTGAAGCGTATGATGAGGCAGGAAGCAGTTAAAACTCTCAGCTACAGCGAGCAGGGCCCGCTCAGGGGGCCCTTGTTTCAGCTCAACTCGCCTCCATCCTTTGAAAGGTTAATGCTCAGCCCACTTCAAAACCTGTCGGCCCTATCAACTCCATCTGCCAATTAAATGGAGGGCCTGGGGTTTTGTCTAGAGCTTTGTCCGGGACCCCTCGCCCTTCAAAATGTTTAGTAAGAGAAATGGCATCTGCCCTGTGGAGAGCTGCGTCAATCCACTCGTGGCTCGAGTGCGTTGCTGTGGGGAATTTTGGGAGACGCAAAAGTGGATTTTGTTCGCAGATGATGCAGTGATGTCATTTCATTTTGTGTTCATCAACCCTAACGAGGCAAACTGTGAATTTGAAAGAAAACTAAGTCTCGCCTCTTTATAGAATAATAGGAACAGGAGAAGATTTGATTTTGTGAAAATGCTCACCCTGAGTCAGCTGGCAGGGTTCTGTGACCGCAGAGCCGTTCACCGAGCACACGGCACCATCCTGAGGGAACAGAGTCACAGTCCCAGCACTGTTCTCCAGCACACAGTGTTCACGGCGGAGTCCAGGTCCATGAAGCACTACCGTACAATCAAAAGTTTGAATACAGCAGCAGCTGGGCGTACGGTGTGGGACGAACAGCGCTCTACACTTTGACTCACCAACATCTCGACTGCACAATGCGTCATCACTCCCAATCACTGTTCTGCCCTCCTGCAGGAAAGATTAAAAGATCATGATACAAAAGCCGAGCTCATTGGAGTTCACGTAATTTCCAAAGACTTATTCACTTTCAGATAATAGAGGCTGATTCCAGTCCTGAGCTGGTCTTCATCAACGCCGATAAGATGAGGCAACTGGCAGTCCAAGACGACTCCTCTCCCCTCCTTTCTCAGAGTCACCGTCTCCTCCTACGGGCCGCAGAAAAAACAAATGCATTCAATAGCCTTTAGCTGGAATGGTGCACAATAAAAACACTGACAGACATTTAATGGAAACCAGCAGAAAACTGAATTCTTTATGACCGCTCTTCCTGGCCTGAAGGCCGCACAGAAAAGCAGCGTTCCAACCATGTGTCACCACGAAGCAGCGGAAAGGCTACCAGCGAGAAAGACGCCATAAATCATTCAGATTATGGTGGCGAGAGTCAAACTGTAGATTGTGTTCAGCGAGCGAGAACACACACACACACACCTTTGCTCTTAATACATTCGTACAAACATTGCATGTCACAATTAAAATATAGAGCTCGCAATAAATGGAGTAAGCCAACTTCAACCAACAAACTTACTCCTGTAACTGTCCGTCTCTGTGTGTGTTAGTAAATTCTCAAACCGATGGATTTTAGCAAAACTCAAATTGGACGTATATCAATTCATTCAAGATGGCTGCAACAGCTAAGCAACCTTTAAAAAAAAAAATAACTTGGTTAAATTGAGATATTGAGCTAAAGTTTGAAATGATAGAAGCTGAGAGTTGTCCTCAGCACGTCATCAAAGATCTGGCATATTTTATAAGGTTCGACCAAAATGGCTACAACTTTATTCCTAATCAAAAGTTGAAATTCTGGCATTAAAAGGTGGCAGGTACGAATCCTTTCAAGGAATGCTTGACCTTAATGTATTTGTAGCGTTTCTGTAACAGCCACTGAATTGCATTTAATACCAGAGCAGTTAAATTTTAAAAAATGAGCATTTAAAAAGATTGTTTTAACTTTTCTGCATGAAAAATTTAATTGTGTAATATTACAACATAAGGAATGTATATTTGTTCAATTCAGTTTATCTTATCTTATATAGTGCAAGTCACAACAGAAGTCAACTCAGATAAATTAACTTTTTATGTATATTAAAGTTTCTGTGCTTTGAGGAGCAAGACTGCTTTTAATTTAACTCCATCACAGAACTCTCATCTTGAGCAAGCATGAAGGCGACAGTGGAAAGGAAAAACTCCCTCATGAGGAAGAAACCTTTAGCAGAACCAGACTCTGGACAAGCGGCCGTCTGCTTCGACCGGCTGGGTTTGAGAGGAACAGATACACAATGGCAGGTCAAGGATCACATGTTAAGATAGAAATAATATCAAATGAAAACTATTAAATTTTAACAATTAATTTAAGGAAATGGAGGTCAGTTTGTCCTCCAGTAGTTTAAGCTTATAGCAGCATAAGCTAACCCCAACTATAGGATTTATCAAAAAGGAAAGTCTTAAAACTGGACAATGTGTCAGCCTCACGGACAGAAACTGGAAGTTGGTTCCACAAGAGAGGCGCCTGAAACTGAAAGACCTTCCTCCCATCTGCTTTTGGAAACTCTAGGGACCGCGAGTAAACCTGCGTTAGGAAAGTATGGAACAATAATATAAGAGGGAGCTAGGTTGTTGAGGGCTTTGTAGGTTGGAAGTAAGATTTTGAATTTTATTGTAAATTAAACTTGGATTTCTGAACTAATTAAGGGTAATAAAGTCCAGCGGAATGTAATAAAACCTTGATTTAATTCTTAAATCATTTCTAAACGGTAAAATAAAGCCACTCTTAAAACGTCTGATCTGCTGCTCCGAGCGCTGCACTGCCTCCAGCACCAGTCGCTGTGAAAATGTGACGCCATGAATCTCACGAAGTGTGTGGCTTTGAAGGGGTAACATTCATTTTTACACGATGTACAACTCCAATCGTCACTAAACACCCAATATGTTGCAGATGGAATAAGTTCGTCAAGAAGTTAATTTCATCGTTCAAAATTAAAAGATGCAAACATCTTTCAATGACCTGTAGTTTCAAACTGTACAAGTCAACAAAAGGAACAAGACTTCAGATTTCCTTAGAACATTTCCCTCACCTAAAACAACTCCCATGACTGTTCAAGAACCAGAGGTCTGGCAACATAGTGATGCGTCTGAAGTACTATTCTGCTAAGATGGACTGATGCCTCACATTGCCATGGATTATAAGTACCACCTCCAAGAGTCTGGATGAATTCAGAACACACTACATAAACCAGCCGTCCTCGCCTTCAACCTCCTCTCACTTTATCGTATAGATTGGACCATGAAGTGAGAGACGTGCCCAACGCCAGCACCACCTCACTCATTGGCACTTGTGAGACAGGAGAAATCCTTTTTTCTAATGAAGAAGGAAAGGCATCGACCACAGCCCCTGTACTTAATTAAAAGGGATTTTTCACAGACTTCATTAGGAGGTGAGCAGCAGCCTGGCAGATTAATGTACCGTGTCACTTTCCTGAGACGCAACCAACAGATGAGATCCTCTTCTTTTCTCCCTAAATGCACAGAGAGCTGCTCTTTACCACACCCAGAGTAGTAACGGCAGCACGGCCAAAAAATAAATAAATAAAACGATTTGCTTTTAGACTGAAGCAGCTGGTGAACATGCTGTAATTAACTGTGGCCTCGACCAGAAGCCAAGCCTGGGCTGCATTTAGGTTTCCATTAAAAGCCATCATTTGTGCTTGAGTAGTAGTTTATTTTATTTCCCAGCCTTTTGGCAGTGCAGTTTCCCCGTTTTGGGCAATCGTTTCAAAAACGCTCCCGCACTAAGCCAGCCAGTCAACTATCCCGACAGCCCGTCAACTTTGTCGAGCAGAACAATCTGCCAAGAGAACGGATCAATTCGGATGAATTCAGAATAGAAAAAAATCTGTTTAAAATGCTGCGTCACATTAAAAAGGTTAACTTTAAGAGTTGTATTTATATCCCAGATTTTTTATATTTTTTTTATAAAGTGCAAATGACTTGCACACAAGACGAAGGCAGTTACGTGACCAGCTTTTAAAACGACGGAGCCTTTTGCCCGCAGTGATTGATTATGTTCCGACGTTAAAGAACTGTCACCTTGTTAACAGCCATTCCTTTTTCCATTCTCTTCGTCATTAGTTTGTTGCACGCAAGAGTAGAATCTTAAACGGAAAATTATTGGTCTGATGGTAAAATAAACCGCAGTGAAATTAGTTTCAGATCCATTCCACCATGTTATGAAACTTGCGCTGAAAAAGTAATTCAAAAAAGGGAAACTTCACTAGATAAACATTTCATGAAGCTTATCGCCTGCCAGCTTTTACATCAGAGTTTTAGATGTTGGGGTCAATCTCAGCTACAAACAGCAGATTATAGCTCAAATATCCGTAAAACGGATAGAGTTATTCAATTCAGAAATACTTTGTTAATCCCAGAGGGAAATTAAATGTTGCAACTCATCATCCTGGTTTCATTAAAGAGTTGTTCTACTGTAGATGCTGATGGCTGTGGGCAGGAAGGATCTCTTGTAGCCTCCGTCCTACAACGGATCTGAAGAAGCCTCAGACTGAAGACACTTTGTTGTTGTACGACAGTCTGATGAAGAGGATGCTGAGGGTTGTCTATAATGTTCTTCATTTTATGAAGAATCCTTCTTTGAACAATCTTTATGAGCTTGTTGATCTTTTTTAAGTCACTTGCTCTGGTGCTGCTCCCCCAGCAGATGATGGCAGAAGAGATGGCGCTCTCTACAACAGACTTATAGAAGATATGCAGCATCTTGCTGCAAACGTTGAAGGACTTCAGCTTCCTCAAGAAGTACAGTCTGCTCTGTCCCTTCTTGTAGATGCTTCACTGTTGCATTTCCAGTCCAGTGTGTTGTCCAGGTGAACCCCAAGGTATTTATACTTCACTTCTCCCATGGTTCGACCGGTTTCTGATTCTCCTGAAATCTACAATCATCTTTGTTTTGTTCACATTCAAGACGATCGTTTCCACACCATGCCACAAAGCGGTCCACCAGTTCCCTGTACTCAGCTTCTTGTCCATCTCTGATACACCCGACCACTGCAGAGTCATCTGAATATTTCTGCAGATGACAGGAGTCCGTTTTGTACCGGAAATCTGAGGTGTGCCGAGTGAAAAGGAATGGCGAGAGTACAGTACCCTGTGGTGCTCCTGAGCCACTGACCACCTGGTTAGACACACAACCCTTCAGTCTCACAAACTGTGGTCCGTTTGTCAGGTAGTCTTTGATCCAGGTGATTGTTCAGGCCTCCATTTGAGTCTTCTAAAGTTTCTGACAAAGCAAGCGAGGCTGGATTGTGTTAAATGCGCTGGAGAAATCAAAGAACACGACTCTCACAGTTCTGTCTGCCTTTTTTAAGAGGATACTGGATTTGCTGAAGCAGGTGTATGATGGCATCTTCAACTCCAAGTCCACTATTATTATTATTATGGCTAGTTGTGTTTTTTAAGGGCAGTCAACTGTGGTGGCCAGCTTGATTCAGGCCGACTCCAGATGTCCATCCTCTGATTAAAACTTCTACTGAACTCCATTCAGTGGGTCATGAAAAATTTAGCCTAATCCATACACGAATGCACAAAACATTCCCACTGCTGTCTGCAGCAGTAGAAATAATTCTTAGGTGCCAGAAAGGGCAAAGACTTGTTTTTCCCCAAAAGGTAACCAAATAACCAATTTTCTCTGATCAAATTCTGAAAGGGGATTTAATTTTGAGTCGGGCTAAAGCCACATGTGAAGGAAAAGCAGTTTCTGATCAGCATACGGGAGATGATGCCAAGGTTGTGAAACGCTATAAAGACTATGATGTAAAAGCGCTGACGTTAGGAGTCAGATTGACAAGAAGCAGAGCAATCACAGTTTAAGTTGTGCTGATTGCAGCATGTTTGGGGAAATGCAAAGACTACCAGGATCAAAGAAAGCTCGTGCTTCATTTATCTCGCTGAAATGGAGGTTCCTCCCATTAAAACATTACAAGAGGACCTGAAAGCAAGGCTGCGAGATCAGAACACACTGGGAAAAAATTAAAAACTTCTCAAATCTGTAGGCTTGCGTATGTATATAATGCATCCACATAACCCTAGTAGAACATGATTATAGTTCTTTTTTGTTCTCAATCCGTTACTGCCTCCGACTGGTGAGAGGCTGCTCTAGAATCCCTCTCATACTAATTACTTTCTCTTTGCCACATGCCCTGTAACCAATCTGGGAAGCTGACGCTGAATAACTTTGCATTCTAAAAATCTGCTTTGAATACAGAATCCAAAATTCAGTTTGCACCGCTCTCGGTCAACTCGTGTCTTTAAGGCCCAGACGGGCGTTCTCATCGAGACGGACTCGGAGACGGAGTTTAATCCAAAGACGGCAGAACATCGAACGCCCAAACACGGAGGCTGAATCAAAAACATGCCAAAGAGCATCCGTTACGAGACACAACTTGAATTACGTTTCCTGTATCACGTATGTGTGGTGAGTTTTAAAAGACCCAGTCAACGCACGGTTTCTGTACAGATATCCACAGAAGCAGCCCGATTATTTTTCCTCACACAGGCAGAATGCAAATACACGAGACAAATGTCAAATCCATGAAGTCATTCATCAAACACGCAGGGCTTCAGTGAGATCAGTGGGGCTACCGGTCACCAGACAGTGACATTTTTACCTGGGTGTCACATCGCATCATGAATTATAACAGACACTCGACCTGCCGCCCTTTCTACCAGAGTTGTAAAGGGCTGATGTTATGCATTATCTCGTGTAATATTAGATGTCACACTTCGGAGTTGGGGAATATGGCCCAAACTTTAAAATATCATGATATATAATCAATATCGAATTATTGTCCAGCCCTTCGGAGTAGGTCTTGTTAATGAATTTCCATTATAAAAACAAAATTTACCACAATCTCTAAAATTGCAGAAATTATAGCCATCGTGTGTGTTGGCTGTTGGTCAGTTAGTATGATGGCCATATTTAAGTGGGTTGACTCCAAATGTTGAGATGTAGACGTACATTCATTGTTTAGTGTTTTGTTAAATTATGTCAAGTACAGGGGCCAAAATATAAAATTAATCTTTTAGATCCAAAGAGCCATTTCTACCAGTAATAAAATGTGTCTAAAGCCGCAAAACCTGCTACAACGGTCATTATCAACTGGTGGCTCATGGGCCACTTCAAATTTGTGTAGTTACTTCAACAAAATATATGAATTTTGACAATAATTGTACATTTTAAGACTAAAGAAAAGACCACATCCATGTTAACAAAAAGGGGGAAAAAAAATTAAATTTAACCCTGAACTCTGCAGGTTTATAAAAAAAAGTATTTTTTAATTTTAGAAAAATAAAAATATATGTATCCCAATTTAAAGTTATTACTTTAAAAAGTGTGTCTAAGAAAAGGTCATTGTTGGATATGTAAATGTGACTAATTTAATTTTAAAATACATTTTGTATTTACTTCAACTTTAAATTAATCTACTCACTATTTTTATTTTAGGCAACTTGTCCTAAAAAATAAAAAAATTCTGGTGGATTTGAGAAAAAGATCCCGTTGTCAGGCCACAAGTTGGATAAATGAAGTAACTAAAAGCTAATCACCATCATTTTTCACATTTTAGTAATTTATTTTAAACATTTGCAGAAAAACTGCTAAATTTTGCCATTTCTCTTTACTGTGGGTTTAAATAATAATAATAAGAATAATAATAAGAATAATAATAATAATAATAATTACATTTTGCATTATGTTTGGTCAAAGCTTCAAGAGGCTGCAGGTTGCAGACCCCTGGTCTAGTAGTTAATGAGATATTTTGCTAATCAACCAGAGTTGACACCAATAGTTTTAAGCACAACATTGTGCAATGTGTTGTGCTCTTTGGGGCGTTGCTCAGCTACTGCCGAAGCAAATTTTAGCCCAATACCTGAAAAGTTTGCTGAAACGCCACTTCTTGCGTTTGCTGATGTTCAATAACTGGAGATCATCGTGAACGGGGTTCACTTCAGCTGCACATGCAGTAATTACTTCCTGAAAGTCGCAGTAAGATCCACCCACTGGTTCGTTAATTTCTGTACGAGCACATGCTTGAACAAAAACATGATCGCCCCCTCGCCTTTGGCCGTGGGCAATAATTAGAATTTCACAAATGGAGATGGACAACGGTGCCTCTGAGCAAGAGCATGAAAACAGATTTACACGAGCATAGCTTTAATTAATATGCTGGACATTCATAGACCAGAGCGCCATATGTCAGTAATCAAGATCTCCTAATTAGGAGCAGTGACAGAAGCTAATGAGCTCCAATATGGACTTCACAGATTTAGGGCTGTCGAGCCACAAAAAGTCACCTGCTAATCGTCCGGAACACGTGCCTACACCTTATTTAAAACCCTGCAACAGTTTATTCCAAAACAACAGCAAGCGCACCACAAATGACAGCTTCTAGCCATCACACACATCCAACCCAACTGAGCAGGACTTTCACGATAATTTAACAAGCGTTAAAGAATTTATTAGCAGCTTGTACGACGGAGCAGTCCCTCCATACTTTCCTGTGACTGGCACACTTCACAGCTTGAGGCATAATGCAACAGGCTACTTCGCCGAACACTGCCAGTTCCAAAAAGTGACATTTGGTGTTATTTTGGAGGTTGGGCAACATTTCAAAGGATGAAAAATGTTCAGTGTAAACTCGAGGCTGGCAACAATAGCACTGTTGTTGAAATGGAGGGGGCAGTTCCTACTTCAGAGAGCATACTGATCGTTTACATTCCTTCCTCTCTCACTTTCCAAACACACCCAACATATTCAATATTAATGCAACAACTTTGCTTCTGAATGCCATTTAAATTCAAATGATTACAAAATCTAATTTAACTGCACATTTGGCCCCTCCCCTTCATGTGTGGTCGTTCACAAGGCTTCTAGCGACCCCAGCTGGCAGGATCTGGTAACTGCAAGAACCACCAAAGCAGCACAGCTCTGACCTGAATGATCTGGAGTTTAGTTTTACATGCAAATGTTTTTAAATGTCAGCGTTTTCATCAGTCCTCAGTAAGTCTAAAATCGAGACTCAAATTTTTTAATTGATTTTTGGCTTCTTTTTTTTTTTAACACCCAAGTACAAACTGTGCATGTGCACTAACAGCTGATAGAAGAGGACATGTCAGGGTAAAAGGTACTTTTTGTAAGGATTTAATGAGCTTAATTACACAGCTCAAGAGTTTTTCCCCGAGGTTCGTTTATGCAAACTCATGATTTGATTTAGATTAAAATAAAAGTAGCAAATGCTTTAAGGTCAGGTTCACTTTAGCTGTAATGTACGCAACAAAAGGCCAATATTTATGGCACACTTAAGTTTTGTCAGATCTACAAGATATCCTAGAATGTAAACAAAAACTATGAAAAACTACAAATATTTTAATTACTCAGTTTAATCCTTCACTTCCAAAAATAAAAAAAAAATTAGTCAGAGTCAGAGTCAGAGTTTCTTTATTGTCATTCGCACCTCATGTGGTACATGTGGTGGAGCGAAATTATGTACACGGGGTCCCAGTTACATCCAACAATAAAATGTATAAGAAAAACAGTAATAACATCTAAGATATGAACTAAGAAAAACATCAACTAAATATACACTAAGCACTCATAACATAAAACATTGAACATCAGCACAAACATGAACATGAGTCTGTGAGCAGATGTGCACGCATGAACACATCAACATTGAAACAGATCAGCAGCAACATGAAACAGATCAGCAGCAACATGATATGGTTTTTCACAGTGATTATTCTAGTTAGAGATTCATGAGTCTAACAGCCTCAGGGTAGAAGCTGTTCCTCAGTCT